CTGCGCCAGCTGCTGCGAGTGCTCCCCTCTCCCAAGATTGCAGCAGGGGACAAGGCAGCAATGGCTGCCTACGTGGCATCTGTGCTTTGCCAGCTGGCGCAGCAGCAGCTGGGCGCCGGTACGGCAGCAGGCCTGGCGGAGGTGCTGCTGGGGGTGGTGCGGCAGGTGACGGCCCGGCGGCAGCAGGGGCCGCAGCAGCAGGCGGCTGACGGCTCCGCTGACAAGCAGAGCAAGAAAGACAAGAAGCGGAAGCAGGCGGGCGGCGCAGACGGCGGGGCGGCGGCAGACGGTAATGGAGAAACCACGCCGCCGCTGCTGCTGCCGACGGAGGGGCGCCCCCTGCTGGCTCTGCTGGTGGTGCTTGAGCAGCAGCAGGAGGGTGGCCAGCTGGCAGGCGGTGAGCAGGCTCAAAAGAAGAGGAAGAAAAGCAAGCACGCGGCAGATGCGGCGGGCGGGGAGCAGTGGGCGGCGCCTGGCTCGGCCCCAGCTTCAGCCATGGTGCAGGCCAATGGAAGCGTGGCAGGCGATGCCGAGGCAGTGGCAGCAGCCGAGGCTGGCGCGGCGGCAGTGGGCGCCTGCTGCCAGCTGATCCGCCAGCTGGCGGCCAGTCCTGAGGGCAGCGCAGAGCTGCTGGCAGGTAGGTATTCAGCAGCACCTGGTTAGAAGCAGCTGCAGCGGCAGCGGCGCAGGCACCTGCAGCGCGGCGACGCGGCAGTGCCTGCACTTGCTGGAAGCTGGGGGAAGCAGGTGTGGCGCTGCTCAGCTAGGACTGATGCAGGCGCTGTAGTAAGCTGTGCTGACGGGCGGCAGCGGCCGGCAGGAGCAGCGGCAGGAGCAGCGGCGCTGCCTGCAGCTGCTGGCTGAGAGTAGCCTAGTGGCCAGCGCGCTTGGCGGCGACGGTGACACTGGCAGCGAGGTGCAGCAAGCGCTGACCGCTGCTGTTGCGCAGCTGCTGCGGCACACCCTGCCAGCAGCCGGCGGCAGCAGTGCCAGCAGTGCAGCCGTGTGCCTCGCGCCGATGGAGCATGTAGCGGCCGCATTCGCTCACTAGTTGCGGGGCGCCAGGCAGGCTGCTGAGCAACCCGATGACAGAAGCAGCAGCCCACCAGCGGCGATCCAGCGCTTCCTGCTGCTGCTGCCCGCCATGCCGCCAACTGCACTCGATGTAGCTGCAAGCACGCTGCGCGGAGCCAGCAGCGCGGAGCCAGCCCTTTGGGATCAGCAAGAAGAAGAACGAGCAGAGCACCAGCCAGGAGCCAGCAGGCGGACAGGCAGCGGCCGCACAGCAGTCTTGGCCACTCGCATCGCTCGCACTCCCGCTTTTTGAGCCGCCCCGGGACCTCTGTTATCTGTGACACACACTGGTGGCCGTACTCCAGTGCGGTCCCTCGCCCGGCGGCATGCGACTCCCTGCCCGAGGTACTGGCTGCCTCCTGTGCTGCTGCCGCGCCTTAAGCTGTTAAGGAGCCACAGATGTACAGGAAGCGAAAAGTGCATTTGGATCCGAGTGGCGGAGGGTAGGGCAGGGGGGCGGGTGCCGCCTGGCTGCCGGTGGCAAGCCGGGGCGGGTACAGCAGCATAGCGACTATGAGCGCTTCGCCAGCCACAATCGCCCGCCGCCATTCAATCAGAAGAGATGACATGTTCCATTCCTGCCTGCTCAGCGCGCCCACCCCCCACCCCACCCTGCTTGACATCTGCTGCAGGTGGCGGACACGCTCAACCACACCACCGTCAGCATGCGCTACAAGGGCTGGCGATTCCCCTCCGCCCAGCGGCTGCAGCAGGTGCTGCACGAGAAGCAGCTGTGGGACGACGAGGCCATCTGCTACACTGGCTACGAGGCCACCTGGGCGTTGTGGAAGGAGGAGCACGACCTGCTGATCGCCGAGCAGCGCCCCAAAGCCAGCTGCGCCGGGGCGCGCGCTCAACCCAGAGCAGCGGCAGCACCTCCTCCAGACTTGCTGCCAACCGCACTACTCCAAAGTGCTACTGCCGCTGTTGGTAGGGGGCGGTGGGCCGGTCTCAGGCGCCACCGCCCATGTTACACACATGGCGGGTGGCCAAAACACACAACAAGAATGGCAAACAGGGTGCTGCGCCGAACAAAGCTGCTGACGGCGCAGCCAGCGCGCAGCCACATGCCGTGGAGATGCGCCGCTGCCATCGGCGCCGCCCTGCCTCGGCAGGGCACCGCGCTGCAGGGTGGGAGGGAGGGAAACAACGAGGCAGGCAAGGGAAGAGATCTGGAAACCGCACAGAGTGCAGCCTCCGGCCCGCTGCAGCGGCAACAAGCTGCCGCCGACAGCCGCTGGCAGCATGAAGGAACCTCTAGCCGCAGCCCAGAAACAGCAGTTGCGAGGACGCTGGGTGCTGGGGCGGGGGCTCCTGCGGGATCGGTGCCACAGGCGCTGCTTCCGGGGCATTTGGTATGTCCACCAGCGTGGCTGCGGCATCCACCGTCGCTGCATTTCCAAGGGGCAGAAAGAGCAGGGGCATTGTGTGGCTGCCGTGCGGAGCAGCCGAAACGGCCTCCTTACTGCATTGCAAGCACCCCCCACCAGCAGAAGGGCTTTGAAGCAGGTCTCACCCGAACCATGTGGCCCTGCGGCGCCGCCGCTCGACCCTCCAACTGGCTGCGCTCCAGCGGCGGCTGCAAACAGGGAGAGATTGAGCCCTCAAAACCAGACGTCCATGCACAACAATGTTCCCTCTACGCAAATCTGCCATTAGCAGCTGGTCACCATCAGCAGCGCTAGCGAGGCAGCCCTCAAGCACTTGGCCCAAGCCCTCACCTACACCCGACCCCTGCGCATGGCCTCCGCCACCCTCGGCAGCTGGCTGCCCAGCGGCAACTGCACACAAGTCGGGACAAGCCTGCAACGTAACGAGATACCCCACACAAAGGGCTGCCACCCGCGCAAGAGGAAATCCACAACACTCACCCGGCGGCTGCGCCCCGCCAGCACCCGCTGGCTGCTCCTGCTGCTGGGTGGGTTGGTCAGCTGAGCCGGCGCCTGAATGGCGGCGCGGCGGGGCCGCAAGCTGTCTGTTGCAGTCGTCAAGCTGTCGCTGCAGATCCCACTGCTGCTGCTGCAGCCTCGCCACCAGCGCTTTCGCCTCCTCGGCGGCCTTCTCCTCGCGCTTGCGTTTATGCTCCAGCTGACGTTGCATCATGTCTTCATATTGCTGCCGCTGTTGCTGCAGCAGGCCTTCATACTGCTGCCGCTGTTGCTGCGCCAGATGGAGCTGCTGCTGCACGCTTTCGATCTGATCGTCCCGACTAAGCACCGTCTTTTCTAGTTCTATCACCGTGCCCTGGCAGGTACTGTTCTCCTGGTGCAGCTGCACAATCTGCTGCTGCAGCTGCACAATCTGCTGCTGCAGGTCCGCAATCTGCTGCTCTGCTGACATCCTGCACAGCCAATGGCAGAGCAGTTTAGTGGGGCGCAACCGTCTTCCAGGTGCGCCGCCTCCCCCTCGGCGGCCCCAACGGCCGCCGCAGCCTTGTTGCCGCTGGTGGCCCGCGTCCAAGGGCAGGCCCGTCGCAACCATTGGGCATCAGGAGGGTCGGGCGGCCAGAGTGCACACACCACGAGGAGACCCACCTGGGGCGGCGCACTGCCGGTGTAAGCTTGCGCGGCAGACGTGTGAACGCGCGTTTTGAAACAGAATCAAGGTCCTCCAGCTCCTCAACTGCGAAACGCACGCGTTTTGGCGCCATTCTAGAGTTAATACCTTTCAGATGGCTTCGGAGGGGTTTCTCTGTAGCTTCAGACGCATTTGCTAGCTTCAGAAATGCCACGCTCTGCCCGCGACATGTTGTGATCATCTGAATAGACACCCATTCACCCTAACACCCCCAGCTGGAGCCAAACACATTGGCCCCCCGTCAGCGATCACCCCAGCTCACACCCCAGCCGGCTGACCCAACGCTCAAGAGCGTTGGAGGCTGCGTAGGCTGCTCCTGGGGGACATGGCTGGTCCTAAGGCACGTCAGCTGGCAGAAGGATGGCATCATCTAGTAAATTCGAGCTTGCATTGCGATGGGGTGTTGATTTTAGCATTTGGGCCGGGAAGGCTGAGTTGCGGGGCTACGACATTAAATAGACCACTTGAGGCCGCCGCCGCCACTTTTGCAGCACCGGCCCCGTGGCCAGCCGCTTCCTGCAAGGGCAGGCGGCAGGGTGTGGCGTGGACGGTGTGTGGTGCGCACCTGTGTGGTCAGTATGGGAGCAACAACAGATGCCAAAGCACAACGAGCAGGCGCCCAGGTGCCGGAGCTGTCTGAGGCCCGGCCTCACTTCTGCTCAAATGGGTGCTGCAGCACGGTGACCCTGCCAGCCAGCGCCAGCGGCTCGTCAGGCAGGCAGGAGCACAGGCAGACCGACTTGGGGCGCCTGCAGGCAGCACGGCGGCGCAGGAGCGACAGCCGAGACGGTGCCTGTTGAGGCAGCGGCGGCGGCGCCCACGGCGGAGATGGGCGCATGCCATCTACGGCCGCTTCTGATTGCGAATATGCGCCCATGGCTGATATCTTCCCAGGCGCTGGAGGTCGCCAGGGCATGCAGTCAAGCCTGCTCACTCGCATCGCTCGCAGTCCCGAGGGTGCTGCGGGCGGGGCAGGCAGGAAGCAGGGGGGAGGCAGACAGTGTAGTCAGCAGGCACGGAAATTGGGCGGGCAGGCAGGCAGGCAGGCAGGACGTGTTTGCAGCCAGGGAAGAACGCAGTGCGGATGCGCTTCCGGCCTTTGCAGGTGCAGCGCGGGTGGCACAGGCGCAGCTCGGCAGCAGCGGCGGCGGCGGCGGCGGCAAACCTGCAGCAGGGTGCCAAAGAAGGTGGCCGCCGCCACCTGCGCCTCGCCATCCCCCAGCAGCTCATACCGCGCCGTGAAGCCAGGCACCTGCATGCGTGGCATCGGCGCGGTGGGGCGTGTCTACTGCATGCTGTGGGCTGCTAGGGCAGAGCGGGGATGCACAGATACAGGTGTGGCACAGCGCAAGGAGGGATGCGAGCACCGCCTGCACCCCTCCGCCGTCAACCGCGTGCGTCCCGCAGCTGCCGCGCGGCACCTGCGCCATGTGCGTGTTAGCGTGCAGGCCGGGCAGCGGGTCGCGCCCCTCCGCCAGCGGGCGGAAGAAGGCGGGCTTGTCGAAGAAGTGGGCGCACTCTGCACGGGGGCAAGGGGGGAAGGTCACAGAACTTGACAGACCTTGGAGCGCAGGGCGGGGCCTGCCCGGAGCAAGCCCGCACCACCACCTCCGCCAGCCCTGAACAGCAGCCCAGCGAAAGCCAACCTGCGTGCTCTGGGCTCTTGGTGATGGCGTAGAGGTTGTACAATGCTTCGTTCATGCCGCCAAACTCTACTTCCAGCACGCGGTGCCAGTGGTCGGTGCCGTTGGCGGCCACCACGGCGCGCACCCTGGCGCAGAAGTGGGATGCCATGCGCCGCGCCGCGCCCAGAGCGCCCGCTGTGCCCACCAGGCGGTGCTGGTCCAGCAGGCCTGCCAGGATCTTGTGAACCTGTGGCAAGGCGGGGAGGCAAAGAAAGGGAGGTGGAGGCTCGGGGACAAAGAGCGGCACTGGCCGGGGCGAGGAGGACAGTTGGCAGGCGGGACGGCAGCTGGGCGGACAGCAGCGGAAACCTGCACTCAAGCTGGGCTGTGCTACGCCAGCTCAGCATGCCCCTCCCTCACCCACCACGTAATAGGGTGCCCATACCGGCTGCAACGCCTCCAGCCGGTCAAAGTGGCTCTCGGGGAAGGCGGCTGCGGGGCAGGGAGCAGGCAGGGAGGAGGGGTTGGGAGGAGGTGCGTGTCGTGAAGAGCAGCACGGTGTGCGCAATCGTGAGGCACTTGTGTCCGCAGTGATCAATCAGAGCCTGTGCCGGATCCCAGGTGCGGGTAGGAGGCACTCACACAGGTAGCCAGTGCCCGCAGCATCCTGCACTTTCTTTAGCTCAGATACCATCACACCGCAGCGCTCCCGCAGCTCGGGGCGCCCTGCGGCGGCAGTAGGCGGCCGCAGCCAGGGCGGCAGCGGCGCTCAGCGGCCGGGATGGGAGAGTGGCGGCGTCGGTGGAGCATGCGTGGGCATGCATGCTGGGAGGCGAGGGTTTGAGCGGTGTGTGCAAGCTTGAGTGCAAGCCCAGGCGTGCCCGCCTGGCGGGCCGCACCTGAGTGGAGGGTGGCCAGGGCGAGGGCAGACAGGTAGTGCCCCACAAAGTGCCCCCTGATCTCCACCCCCGACCACTCCCACCCGCCGTACGAGGCGCCAGGGGCGGGCAGGCCGGCCGTCTTCCTGCACCAATTCAAGAGCAAGTTTACTTGGGCAGCTGGGGTGGAACCGGGCAGACGCAAGCAAGGGCAGGCGGTGATGCAGCACCACATGCTGCCGCGCTGGCGCCCTGCGCCTGGCCCAGCTGCCAGGTCCCCACCTGAAGTTGTACAGCAGGCGGTCTGGCTCCAGCGCCAGCAGGTACTCGCTGTTCTGCTCAAAGTTGCGGGCGTACTCGCTGCCCCTTGCCAGCTGCAGCGGCGTGCAGCCGGCAAAGTGGCGGGCGGGGGCAGGGCCGAGTGCAGACTTGGAAACAGAGGAGGGACAGGGATCCATGCAGGCCCAAAATCAGCAGCGGCAGCGGCAGCAGCAGCAGCACAGCACCTGCACATCGGCCAGAGAGAAGCCGTGGATGTGTGGCGGCTCGGGGGCGGCGGCGGCCACCATTGCCGCGGCCACCACTGCCGCCACCGCTGCCATGACCTGAGCCGGCCTGCGCGCCATCCCCCGATGCTTCCTTCCACCTGCAGCACTTGGGAAGGGCCGGACAGCCCGGGCTGGGGAGCACCTTGGACCCTCGCATGATCTGATGATTTCTGTGGCCTCTTCAGGCTCTGCAACGATGCTCGAAAGTGATCGAATTGCAGGGACGCGACATAAACACCGTTTCCAACCACCTGGCTTCGGGACGGCACCTGGTTGCGGGACGGCGGCCACCGGGACGCAATGCGATACCGCCTAAAGCATTGCCGCGCGTTCCGAGGCTCTGGCTGCGCGATTGAAGGCTCCGGCCGAGCGCCATAGGACAGAAGCGGTACGCATCCAGCCTCTGTCTCCTGGAGGCCCTCAAAAGGCATGCGGCAAATGGCATGCATCGCATGCTGGATGGTAAGGCCTGTGACGCCTCAGTATCGCTCGCATTCCACGCCACATGCATAGCTAGCTTTTCGGGGAGTAGCCAAGTGGCGCAGTGGCGATGGCAGCCGATCTGCTGGTCATGCTGGATGGGCTGAGGGCCACCAGGGATGCCGACAGCTGCCTGCGCGGGCTCAACCTGTTTCGCAAGGGCCTGCGGGCCGAGGAGGGCCCCGCATTCCTGGCGCGCTACCTGCGGCAGTCGCCGGACTGGCAGGAGCTGCAGGCGGTGTGGGACACGCAGCTGACGGTGCGCCGCCCGCCGCCGCCAGCTGCCGCCGCCACTTCCGCCGCCTGCAAAACGGTTGTCTCAGCCTCGCATTCTGCTGCCGAGCGCAGGTCCAGCACTACCACGTGACTGTGACATTGCTGCTGGTGCTGGCAGATGCACTGGGGGTGGCCACTGCCGCGGCCTCGCAGCCGTCGGGCGGCGAGCAGGAGCAGCAAGCTGCGGTGCTGGCGGCGGGCGCTGCCAGCCTGGCAGGCGCTGTGCTTCACCGCCGCCTCAAGGCCCTCTACTTCAACCTTTCTTCCGACATGCGCGGCAAGGCCAATGCAGCGCTCGCACTGCTCACCGCAGTTGCAGCCGTGTGCAGCCGAGGCGGCGGCGGCAGCGGGG